AGCACTTCACGCAGCCGGTGTCATTGGCACGGGTTAGTTTCCCTAAATTCTAGGAACCACATTAATAGTGCGAGCGTGAGCTATCCGATCCTGCGCCCACATATAGCTATATACTAACTAGCTTGCCTCTTACTAAAAAGTATATAAAGCAACTGCCAGTCAGGACTTTGCTGCGTGCAAAGGGAAAGACGGCCGAAAAGCAAGTCTTGGAGGCTTTGAAGAGGTGGGGTTGGGCGACCCGGACTCCTTAAGTCCTAGTAAAGAGGAAATTCAAGCCTTAAAGCCTGTACTGACCCCTGAAGGTCACGGAAGGTCTGGGGTTTATTAAATAGTAAAGTTGGAGTCCTGAGCTCACTTTGCATGCAGAGAGAGTGTGCCTGTTTCTCATTAAAGGTCTGCCTGCAACCTGGTCAAAACTTGCTTTCAGCCCCAGAGTCAGAAGCCACAAGGGCCATACAGAAACCCGGCTCTTTTTCGGCTCTTGACATTTTGGCTCAGAGCTGGGAGTGAAATCTCCAGCCTGCCGGCGTTTGCCAAGGCAGAAGGCCTCACAGAGGCCCAGTGGCCTGTCGGGCTTTGAGGTGTCGTTTTCTCAGCAAAGCCACGAAGCCGAGTCGTGGCAGGAGTGCTTCCTGCGGCCATGGCATTGAGCATGGCGAAGTCAACATCATTGCCTGGTGGGAGCGTGGAGTTAGAAAAAGACAACAGTAGCTGTTTGCTTCCTAGTGGTAAGGCCAGGAGCCCCTAGTAGCGTCCTTGCTCCTAGCAGTAAGGCCAGGAGCCCCTAATAGCTTCTTATTACCATGAGTTCGATTTGATTTTTTGCTCTTCAAGTTTCTTGTGTTAGTTACATTTTTCGGATCGCTGATCGCAGCCCACTTTATGCAGGCCTATGGAAGATGGGGACTGAAAAGCCAAGAGGTTCGACAGGAAACTTGAAGAAGGCAGAACAACAAAGCCATCGCAGCATTGATGAGAATCAGTGTGCAGCCAGGCCACCCTAGCATTCTCTGTAGGGGGCAATTTGGACTCCGCTTTGGATAGGAAGAAAGGACAGACTCTAAAGGTATTGCAATGCTCCCAATTATATCAGATCCTTTCTCATCATGATGTGAAGGACCAGCGCCGACCAAACAGACTAGAGAGCTAGCAGGACTTCTGCAGACAGCAGGTTGGGTGTGGCATTTTCTTTGGTCATCACTGTAGAAAGTTGTATGCTGTGAACTGAAGGCTGGCGAATGGTACACACTGAGCAGCCCTCGGAACCACCACCAGCTGAAGAGGACTATTGGGCCATGCAGGTTGCAATTGTGTGGGAAACCGTACCGGCAATCAGCCGTGCCACTGTGCAAAACAAACTGCAAAAAGCTTCTCCCAACCAGATTTGCATCGTGAACTCCCTTCGCTAGGATGTGCTACCCTCAAACATGCGCCAACCCAGGGATGCCCCCGCCTGGCTCAAGCACGACAAGCAGGCCCGAGGGAGCTTCTGGATAAAGCAGGCAGTTGCAAGTGATATTGCTTAGCGGCTTTTGTTTTTTGCAGGTCCTCCGGTTTTATGGCTTCTTCCAAGAAACCGTGACCGAACGGCCAGACGAAAATGCACGCTATCGACATGTTTCCATCATGTTCCACATGGAGGATGGGACCATGAGCATGAACGAACCGAAGGTGGAGAACTCCGGAATTGCTCAAGGATCTTTCTTGAAGCGGCAAAAGGTGTGGCGTGCAGACGGGCTTGCATATATTGGCCCGGATGACCTGCGTGTTGGGAGCGAGATCACTATCTTTGGCCGCACCATCCACATCAGTGGGTGTGATAGGTTCACGAGATGGATTTTTGAGTCGGCGTCCTACTTTCAACACTTGGTCTGAATGTCAGCAGACAGAATGTGTTGATCCATGATGTCACTGGCATTCTTCCCGGCACTTCCGAGGCAGAATGGGATATCGCTACCGCCTGAAGAGCCAATGGTGGAGGATGAGTGGCACAAGACGTACAAGCTGAGGAAAATCATAGAAAAGGGTCAAAAGCCATTGACCAAGGCACAAGTGGAAGATGCTTGGATTCAGAAGTGGGGAGTGGCGATGGGTTGTCCGTATGGGTCATGAGAAAGATTTGGCAACTATTAAGCCTTTTTTCACGAAAAGCTGCTTTTCTGAGTTCTCCTTTCTTCAAAACACCATTGTGAACGCAAATGGTCTTTGTAACGGAAGCTTCCCCCAGAAACGACTAACACGGCGAAAGCACACACACAGAAACGCTGAAATGACGGCCGTAGAAGCAGCTGAAATTTGTTCAGGGCAGAGGGTTGCGCATTGCTCAAGGAGTTTGGGGCTGTAAGAATAAACACTGTTCCCGATCCACCCTACTCCGTGCCTTCTCCTCCTCCTCCTCCTCATCCGAATTCTCATTTGGATCCTCCTGAGGTTTCATCAGACTGCTGCAGATTAATATTCCTTTGCTTCCCATCTTGCCTTGCGACCGCTGCCTCTGATATAATACATATATATATGTATAGATAATTAGAAACATTTGTTAGTGTATAAAGCATTCATCACCTGCGAAGGCGAAGAACTTGGCCAAATTTATGAGCGGAGCTCCGCATGTGGACATGAAATTCACGCAGTTCGCCCTGAACGAGCGGATCCTTTGATGCGCATTTTATGTGCCTACCCTTTTGCTCACAACGGGTCTGATTTGTTCGGCCGCAATTGAGGAAGGTGCTTCGTTTCAAAGCATTCTGGGATGATCACACACCGCAACTTGGCAGCTTCTCAGCTTCTCAAGCACATTCAAGCTCCTTCCGGGAGAGAGACGAGAGAGGGAGAGAGAGAGAGAGAGAGAAGTGGGAGACAAGAGGGGGACAAGAGGGGGAAAAGAGGGAGAGAAGCTGAGAGGGGGGAGAGAGAGAGAGAGAGACAGAGAGAGAGAGAGGAGCTATGGAGGTACGGTGCGCGCATGTACTTCATCATCCACTACTTTTTAGCTGACAACACAGTGGAGATCAACATGGCTCAATGCCGGAATTCAGGCCGTGATGCATATCCAGCAGGCATCTCAGACAGCTCGTTCTACGAGCAAGGTCTAGGCTAGAGTCTAGAGTCTAAACAGACACAAGACGCCGCGGCGTGAACCGATCTGGATATGTTCGGAACGCAAGTGAAAAAAACATTGCATTGCACTTGTTTCTACTAGCGTTCTTGCTCGCAGTAGTAAGGCACTTGTTACTAGAAGCGATGCACTTGTTTCTACTGCATTGCACTTAGAGCGTTGGAACTCTCCAGCTAAGATGTTCATGAAGCGGGGCCAGCTTTCCAAGACAACCCAAGTCCTAGCAGTGCCAGGCAGGGTCCATGCGTTGTGCCGTTGTGCCTTGGTATGTGACACTATTCAACACAGCTTTGTTGAGGCTTGTTGGCCGCAGAAGGACAGATCTACTACCCGCAGGACTTCCGGGTGGGAGCATCGATCAACGTTTGGGGCCGCAAGCTTGTCATCTATGACTGCGGCTCGGCTAAACACAGTCTTGTTGCCGGGAGAGTGGGTTGGACACAGACCATGAAGCCTGAGGTGACGATGCGACACAAAAGTTCTACAAAGAGTATTTGGACATAGACCAGCGCAAGGCACGTTCAGTTCGAGTGGCACTCCCTTGGACTCTATCTTAGATGATTTGGAAACTTTGAATCTGTTTGCGCACAGGGGTGCATCGACGTGTCTGAGAAGCCAGTGACACACTTGAAGTTGACACCAGCTCCTCACAATGGAGTGGGCCGAGAGGAGGAGAGAAACTGCGTGGTGGTAGTACCACTGCACAGGGTGCACAACAAGAACAATCAACGCAACAAGAGCTTGTCGTGCCGCAGCGTTCGCAGGATTCCTTGATCAATTGCCAGATGATTCAGCCAAAGCCTCCAAAAGTTGACTTGGAGCGGCTCATGTTGTACCACGGGGAAATCCTAAGGTTTGAGTGCAAGATGATGAAGCTCGGTTCTATGTCCAAAGATATTTTCAGAATATCTCCACTGTCCACAATGGATGGTGCCAGTGTTCACGGTAGGTTGTTTACAGCAGAGGAATGGTGAGCCTGAAGATGAACTTCGACGCTTGGTGATTGCTTATTACCTGGCAGATGATGAAGTGGCAGTTTTCGAGGCCAAAGACTTGCATTTCGGCTGCGTGCTGTTCAGTTGCACAGTTTGTGTACCTCGCTTTCAGGTGCCGGTGCGAAACAGTGGCCACATGGGTGGACGGTTTTCAGAGAAGCGCCGCATGAAGAATCCGGACACTGGAGAATACTTCAAGATCGGAGAGGCTTGGCTGACTTTTAGATCGTCCGTGAGCTCTGCCCGGATATCGCATGCGGCGGAGCTGTTCGCTTCCATGTCTGCCACCAAGGACTTGTTTGTCGGTCAGACAGTTACCATCGCTTCCCAGCCACTGCGAATCACACGAGCGGACGAGCATTGCTTGCAGTATCTGGAGGCTAGCTGAGATGGCCAAGCATCCAAGCATTGTGTGATTCAAACAGGTATGTCATGTGTCCCATTTGATGATTTTGTTGACGCTATCGAATGCCCTTCAGGCCCATCCGGACGAGTTCCCCTATGCCAGTCCTGTGGCTTGTGCTCGGCGTTTGTTGCCATTGGCTACAGATCCCGAAGTGCAAGACGAGAGAGGAATTGAACCAGAGCGCTTAAAGGAGCTGGCTGCGAAAGCAGGAGTTTCCCTCATAGACCATGAGTTGGTCACGCTGCTGCGACATTTCGGAGTCCCCCCGGAGAGTGAGGACCAACAACCCAGAATCATTGGTCCACATGCACTCCAATGTGCTGGCTGAGGTTCAGTTGAGGGCTGGAACATCAAATGTTTCCACAGCCAACTCTTGGAACCAGATTTTTTATCAGGCCGTTTTGCCTGTGCATGTGCCCCGCAGGGACTTTGGGCGTGGCACGTCTCACATTCAGGTCTGCGTACATAGGATTCTTGCAACAGTAGCAGATCTGTCCATTTTTGGAGCCTCCAAGAGGCACACCAGGGGCCATCAGACAGATCCTCAGTTTGAGCTGTGGCAGGCAGACATGCCGACAATGTTGCGAGCATTAAGTTGCTATTAGAAAGCCGATGTCGAAAAGGAGTATATATATAAAGTCGACGCACTTGCTTTGTGCTCCTGTTTCACGGTCGCTGGCTATTTGGTGCTGTGGTAGAATTGGATTGAAAGCCCGACATGCTGTTTTCCGCAGCCACTGTGGTCCAGAAGTGGGGCGATATCTTGGCCATGACCGCAAAGCTGAGCAAATCCATTTCCCTTCCTGGCCTTTACAAGATTGGCACCGACAAACCCAAGGGCTTCACCGGCAATGCACGGACGACCACTTTGGCCTTCAAGGTTGCTGGGAACCTGAAATCGCAGGTGGATTTGAAGAGGACACCCGCACCCACAGAGCACAGCCGATACTTGGCCTCCTTGATGAAGACAGGGGGATGGCGAACATTTTACAAGGAAGAGGAAGACGACGTGCCAACCAAGGACTTCGTTTTTTTGCGTTTTGAAAACGTCCTGTTGGCCTTTCGTGTTTGCCTTGATGCCACACTTTTTGTATGGTCCACACCAATCTTTCAACAGCCTGTGCAGGAGGAGGATATTGTTCCCAAGAACATGAGGCACCCGAGGCTCAGCCCGGCATGGCTAAAGCATGAAAAGCAGGTGCTTCGTTGGTATGGCTTCTTCCAGGAGACAGTGACAGAGAGCGCGATGGAAAACAGCCGTTATCGGCACGTTTACATCATGTACTTCATGGAAGATGGCACCGTGGGCATCAACGAGCCTAAAGTGGAAAACTCTGGAATGCCACAGGGCAATTTTCTGAAGCGACAAAAGGTTCAGAAAGAGGATGGGACTTACCTTGGGCCGGATGACATTCACATCGGCTCTGAAGTCACCATTTGTGGCCACACCTTTCACATTTGTGGATGCGATCGATTTACCCGTTGGTTCTTTGAAGAAAATGGGGTCGCCATCGAAGAGGAGCCTGGACCACTACAGTAAAACCACGCTGACCGTATTTTTGTTCCATTTTTTCACAATTGTTAGTCACCAATTGTCTAATTTTAAAGGTGCTGAGTCTCCTTTGAAGCTTCCACCTAGGACGAAGAGATTCCTATTGACACCTGGCAGACCAACTACCGTATCCAAAAAGCAAGAGATCGAGGTGGATTACCAGTGACAAAGGGTGTGATGGATGACAAGGCAGGATGAACTGCAATTGCACAATTGCCCGATCGCACTGAGAGGATCCATGCACACAGGCCAGTGAGGTGAAGTGGCCCGTTTGTTTCATTTGGCTGCATTTTGTCGCTGAAATTGCAGGCCGTGATGAGAGCCTTGGGTGGCATCCCTCCCGTGGAAAAGAAGTTTGCGCAATTTCTCCTCAATGACCGGAAAGTGCTTCGCTTCAAGGCCAGCTTTAGGTCAAGGGCTCAAGGTCAGCTCGAGTGGAGGATGTCTTGAGCTCTGTCTGAAATGCAGGGATACTGGGACGACCACACACCATATGGGACGAGCTGCATGGCGATGCAATTGCATAATAAAACATATTCCTGACATGAGTTGTTCAAGCAGGATGTCACTGGAAGGCGTTTCAAAGTGCTTTGTGTATGCCAACACAGCTCCGATTGAGCTGAGGGTTCTATTTCATTCTTCACTACTACTTGGCCGACAACACCGTTGAGATCAATGAGGCTTTTAGAATGCTTAGAGCGCTGCATCTCCTGCAATTACTGTAATGACCTAGCAGCACATTATATAGTTCCCAGACCATGGTCTGCTGTTGGCACTTTCTCGGTCAAGCTGGAGATGTGCAGCAGCAGTGGCAGCTGTTTTCTTCCCTATGTTTGGTCAAACTTTTGCAGGCTCATTGCCGCAATTCTGGTCGGGATGGTTGGCCAGTGCTGTGCTTAATTTCACACGTAGTCCGCATTTCCCGTCCCAGTGTTGGACGCTAGAATCTCCATTTCTTTGCGAGTTTGTGTGTGTGTGTGTTTGGCGCGACTTGAGCCATCATACTTTGATCCAAGATCTTCATGAAGCGCGGGCCGTTGCACAAGAGACAATCGGTGGCACTCAGATATATCACTGAAATCATGCCAATTCTGCGAGGGCTGCACTAGCTTTTGCACTGTTTCCGTTGTTCCCGAGGTAATTTTGTCAATGGAATTCCTGCCATGCTCTCTGCTGAAGCACCACGGTACCTGCCGGAGGATTTGAAGGCCGGCGGCATATCGAGGTGTTGCAGCCACTTTGGTCATTTCTCCCCATCTCCCTGGCATTCTGAAGCATTCCTGATCTGGTATATTATAGCATATTATAGCTTTGCTGGGATTGTGCCATCCAGGTTGGAGATTCGATCAATGTGTGGGGCCGAAAGGCACAAGGTTTTGACATTAACTGCTGCATATATAGTGAGACTCTGTGCGATTTGGGTGCTTTTCGTCTGAAGGTCGTGCTCTATGATTGCGACGATTTCACAAGAAAGTTCTACCTTGACTACTTGGGTGCCTCAGTTAAGTTGTCGCGTGCGAATGATGTACAGAACTGGGTCTACTCAGTGCAGGTGTTGACCAGTTTGATGGTCGCATTGACGTCAGTGAGAAGCCTGTGACGCATCTGAAGCTCACGCCGCCGCCACACAATGGCATTGGCAAGGAGCGATCGTAGGGTACGGAGGTTCTCTCTCTCTCTCTCTATATTGTCCGGGCTAAGGGCACTTGCTTTGAGTCCCCTGGCTGTTCCACTAGTTACTAGTTCTGGCCGCGAGTGCCGAATGGGGATGAAGGCAGAAGATTCCCTGCTGAACTGCACGATGATCCAGCCAAAGCCGCCGAAGGTAAGGAGGGAAAGTCACGCACAACAATCGGGAGAAGACACGACTGAGAAGAGAGGAGAGTAGACTCCACAGAACGCAAAGAGACCGCATGGAGTTACAGCACACCCTGCATGGAGAAGACCACTGGTTTGTCGAGGAAAGTAGTTGCAACTAACATGGTCAAAAGATCAGGGTTGATGTTAGTGGAAGACGAAGGTTCCACAGGAAAGGACTCACTGTACCTCAATTGAGAGACTGAAGCCTCTCCCATCCTTTCCCTTCAGATTGATCTCGAGCGCATGCTGGTCTATGGCGGGGATGCTTTGCGTTTTTGACCTCAGAGCGCGATCGGTAAAGGTAGTGAAAGAGACAAGGATTGTGGCAACTCTTTGTGCGGCCAGACTAAGACACTCGTGACAACAGTGACAGCATTTCCAAGTTTACAAGGCTTTGAATGCAAGATGATCAATGGCGAGCCTGAAGATGAGCTACGCCGTCTCGTCATTGCTTTCTACCCTGCCGATGGCGAGATGGCTGCCTTCGAGGCCTGGACCCCGAGGATTCGGATGTCTTTCCATCCAAACGGCCCGACTCAAGTCAGCCCAAAGCAACAAGGGAGGGTCATGCCCTGGCGTCAAAAGCGGAAAGGCATTGTTGTGTGGGTATGGGTCGCAGCCCTGAACTCAGGTTCCTATACGCAACAGCGGCCACATGGGGGGCAGATTCTCAGAGAAGAGGCTCTTGAAAAATCCAGACACGGGCACCTCGGATCCCTTGAATCCTAAAATTTGATGAGATGCTGAGATGCACCTGGAAATCAGGTGTTTCCAAGAAATGACATTTGAGGCAAGTATTTCACGCTCTCGGACTTGTTTGTTGGGCAAGTGATCACCATTGCCGCGCAGCCTTTGTGGGACACTTAAGTAAAGGGGCTTCCTGGAGTTTTGTGCTTGTCTCAACATTCCTTACTGTCGTCGTGGTCCTTTTCTTGACCAGTTTATTGTCCGAGTGAAGTAGGACTCTCTCATGTCAGCTTTTTGATCATCGGCTCTATTGCTACCATTACAGCTCCAAGGCAAATTGTCCGGGCAGACGAGCGGTGCCTACAGTTCTTGGAGGCTGAGACTCATTGCGGGTGATTGCTTTGTTGGAATTGTCTTGGATGCGTTTCAAGAGAAGCTATTTGCCCAAACTGTTCTTTGCACGGTGACGATGACGGCCCTGAGGGGTAGCCTTAACAATGGCACCTTTCAACTCCTTTCAGTGATTCAGCGCTCTGTAGTTGTGATGTGGTATTGAACATGAGCAAGTAGCAAGGTGTTGCAACTGCTTCTTTTTGAGAAGCCTTTGCAAATTGAGAACCTTGAGTTCTTCTAATGGTGTGCCCTGGTGTCGACAGGCTCGACCAAAAGAGTTTCCATATGCCGACCCAGTTGTGTGCTCAAAGCGGCTAGTGCCACTGGCGGAGCATCCAGAGATGTTCCTCTGCTAAGTATGGACGTGAGGCAGGAACTTGAGCAAAGACTCTGGAGAAGTTGCAGCACGATTTGGAGAGCTTTCGACTTTGTCGCAGCCAAGGCAAGATGCAGATGGTCTTAGCCCAGATCGGCTTAAGGAGATCGCCTTTGAGGCAAAGAGAGCAGCGGGAAGCTGCTGGGTTTGGAAACACAAAATGGGTCCTTTGATGTGCATAGGCCGGCATTTCGATGGTGGATCATGAGATCATCACACTGCTGCGAAGCTGTGGCCGCTCTCTCGGGAATCAACCTGTATGCGTTTGCCACTGCATGACACGTTCATGAAGAAAGGCAATTTCCTCTACGACTTGGCCTGTTCCACTTCAATGATTTGTTTTCCAAGAGGCAGCCAAGTAGGACAGACTATTTTCTGTGCAAGCTGCAAGCATTTATGAACTTATTCCTGAGTGTGTTAAGAGCTCAGATGGGTTCCTGGATTGCGTTTCATTGCGCGAGACACGTCGCTTGAAGAAAGAGAGCTGGGCTTTGCAGAACTCAGGCATCCCTGCTGAAAGCGAGTCTGACCAGCCAAAGGTAATCGGGCCAAAGGTGCTAGAATGTGCTGGAGTGTTGCAGCCTGCGGACTCTTGAAGCGGCCGGACCCACGAGATGTCGACTTGCACGAAATTAATGAAGTAACAGTGTAACAGACTGACGTGAAGCCGGTGTCAAGGCCCTCGGAGCGTGCTACCCACCTCACAGGGAAACCTGCATTTACAATGAGAAGCGGAATGTGCAGTAGCGTGCAGTTTCAAGAGAAGGAAGAGGCACGGTGGGCTTTGGCAGTGTAGTTTCGGCCGGAAGAGGACTAGCTCGTGCTGAAGGGCCCGGGAAGAACTTGGAAAGCCCTGAAGCAAGTCTTGAATTCAACAGCTATCGGGCTGAATCCGGTATGTAGGTAGGGTACTTCTGCTGAGAAGCCAGCAGCAAACGCTTGCCTGCAAAGCAGGAAGCCGTTCACCAAGCGGGACCCTATAAACGCTCTTATGTTGACGACCATTCCTCCGACATGTCATTTAGGGCTCCTACCAGATGTTGCGCAAATGGGCCACGCCCGTGATAGTTCTGGGACTTCTATTGCAAGGAGGCTGACTTTGTACTGCCTTGGAGATCTTGGAGTGCAAAAAAAGGTTCGTTGTGCAAAGTGAGTGTTGGATGTGCAAGCTCTTGAACTTGTTCGAGCTCAGACCTGGCCAGGATGGAAGGCAAAGAGCAAAAGAACAGCGAACAGAAGAACCCTACTGCAAAGAAGGCCAACATCCCCACTCCAATAGAACATTTGTGAACATGCTAGTGTAGTTCCCATTTTTCTGAGATCAGATGGTGGGAGAGGTTCAAGATGAGACAAGTTTCGCTTTCCATCTCTAGTGACTATATTGTTACCCTTGCCGCAATTTTTCCCATCATGAGAATCGTTAAAATCAGGTCACCTGAACTGCACTCTCACTTGTCACAGTCACCGATCCGGCCGCCCATTCCCGGACTCGAGGATGATGCAGGGGACCACCATGTTGAGGCCAGTGGTGTCCGAGTGTGATCTAATCTTTGCAGGCAAGCAGGCAGGCAGGCAAGCACTTACTCGTTTACCTGCCGGCAAGGAGGAAGATGTTGATGACGAAATCTTTGGTGACGATGACGATCTTGCAGGAGACGAACAAGTTCGGAAAGATGAACAGAGAGGCTTTAACAGGTGTTGGAGGTACCAGAGGTAACTACCTTTTTGCTGCGGACTCCTGGCATGTCAAACGGGGCCGCTGGTAAGGATACCATGACTTTGAAGATGGTGGGGGCGACGAGTTTGAGGATGTCGGAGGCCGGGGAAAGCTTATGGGCCATATGGGAAAGTGAAAGTTGCTTTTTGTAAGCTGTTTATCTCTTCTGCACGGGGAGTTGTGTCCCTTTCCTGCAAGCTGTAAAGTTATCAAGGTGTGCTTCCAATTGGAGAAAGGTACTGTAAACATGATGACTTTCTAGGACCTAGGACTTTTAAACTGCGTTTAACCGTGTGCGCAAGGGAGAAACAAACAGATTATATAGATGAATAGTTTGTCACTGGTGTTGATCAATGCTTTTTTGCTTGCAATTCGAATTCCTTTCATTGATGGACATCAGTTTTTGTTGACAATGCGGCCTTTGTGCCCAAACGCTGCAGTTTCTAGTTTTTCTCGTTCTTTTCACAAATTAGACATGCTCACTTTCAGGTGGAGATGGAGATGCTGATTTCTAGCTCTTGCATTTGCAATAGGTGCCAGTTACGAACCGAACGCCCCACACTGCGTGTGCGGTGGCTGATGGGGCCGTGTTTCACAAGAAATCCTCAAGGTGCCTTGAAAAAGGCCTCCGCCTTCCCACGTTCTTTTCTTGGCCTCCGCCTTCTTCCGAAGCCAAGTTAATTTAGGGCATCAAACCAAAAGAAACAAGACAGGAATTCTGGAATGGCTTGCTTTTCACTTTGGTGCTTGCAGTTGCTGGGGATGTTTGTAGTTCCTTGGAATGCAGTTGGACCACTTAGAAGTTTGCCAAGGTGTACATCACGTGCTTGACAGGATTTTGGTCTCAAAGGTAGCCATCAGGTAGGACATTGCAGGCATCGTGTGCCCCGATTTTTCCCAATGGCATCCCGCTGCTTGCTCCCTGCTGCTGGAGCATTGATGCTCATGTGTTTCCTCCCTGCAGCCTTTGTGGTGCTTCCTGGTGTTCAGACCCCGGCCCTTCGCGGTGCAAAGGCGCAAGGAGGTGCATCCTTTGCCAACCTCAGCATGGCCAGCATTGCCACCACAACCGCTGCATTTGGTGTCGCAGCTGCTGTTGTGCGAAGCCGCAGTCGAGAAGGAAAGACAGCAGCCAAGTACACAACGCAGACGATCTTGCCATCGCTGGCATGGATCAAGACAGGCGTGAGGGCCTCTGAGTTGCAGCCCACTGAGTTGAAGGCACTGACACTCGCAGGCAATGACGTGTTGATTGGCAAGACTGAGGCTGGTGCTCTCTTCTGCGTTGGCAACTTGTGCCCTCACATTGGCACTCCCATGAGCGAGGGTGCGGATGTCATCGGTGATGTGATTGTATGCCCTTTGCACGGCTCTTCCTTTAAGGTGACCACTGGTGAGCTCATCGACTGGTGCGTCTCCCCACCCATCATTGGTCCTCTCACGGGCTTGATCGTGGACAAGAAGAACCTCCTGATTTTCGAGTGCCGCCAGGGTGGCTTCTTGGGAAGTGGAGAGGTCGAGGTGCTGGTAGACACAAACGCCAAGAAGGCCTACGAAGCTAACTACTGGAAGGGCTTGCTGGACGCACAGGGCAAAGATGATGGTACCTACTACTGAGTGTGATCCCAACAGTTTTCACAGACCAATCCTCCGCGCCAGAGGGTTAAAGTCCGTCAGGAGAGTCACAACTCACAGTACTTATACTTGTCCCGTGACAGCTGCATGCTTCTCACAACGAGCCTTGCCTGCCTGGTCTTGCGACTTCATCGCTGCTCTCTCCCGATTGCGATCTCCCACAGCCTGTTTGACCCATTGTATTTTCCCTTGCGATCGCTAGACTGCTAGACTCATCGCCGGTTCCCATAGCATGTCTCGCTGTCGTCGACTACCCGAACACTAGCCGTGCCACGGTGGCCTCATAGCTTTCCCAAGCAGTTTCCTCCCTTGTGAGTTCATCACCGCTGAAGGAAGCCAAGTTGGCAACTGTTATCGCGGAATAAATCTCATTTATGTGTAATAACTTGTGCATAAGCTTGGT